CAGTGCGAGGCCAACAACACAGCCTCTCATGCGCCCTCCAGTAACTCACGATCGAAACCACTGTGATATAGAAGCGATTTGAGCCGCCGCTAGCACAACCGCTCGACAGCTGCTCAGCTGCTCGGCGAAGAATCCTCCCTTCTGATTAAATTCACTCCCCAGAAGAAAAAAGTAGCAAAAAAGAGAATATTTCCCAATTAGAGAGTCCAATGGGTGGAGCTCCAAAAAAGCAAGTCTCGAAGGCTCGGACTGAGTAAGGAACTGGGGCTAAACAGGAAGAGGAGGTGTGTTTAGTCAAATTTCTTACTCAGTCTGGCCTATCGGACGAGGAATAACCCACTCAATGGACTCTCTAAACAGCACAAGGGAGAAAATCAAATTTATTCTACGAATGAAATATGTATGTATACCAGCGGTGAAATCCAGCAGATTCTGACAGGTTCTGGAGAACCGGTAGCGAAAATTTTGAGTTCGGAGAACTGGCAAATACCACCTCTGGCTGGCCCCAGAGTGGGGTGGGAATGGAGATTTTGCAAAATCCTTTCCCCAGGAGTGGGGAGGGAATGGGGATTTTGCAGTATCTTTCCCCTGTCACGCCCACCAAGCCACACCATGCCCACAGAATCGGTAGTAAAAATTTTTGGATTTCACCACTGATATATACTTACATTAAACTAGATATCAAAATATATTACAAATCATTGGGTAAATAGTACATATTTCAGATCTGATGTGTTGTGATAGCAACCAGATGTATTACATTGGAAAGTTGGTCTAGTGATTAAACACCAGTCTAGAAACTGGAAGACCAGGAGTTCTAGTCCCAATTTAGCCACAAAAGTTAACTGGGTGACCTTGGACCAGTCATTCTCTCTCAGCCCAACATCTCACAGGGTTGCTCTTGTGGAGAAAACAGGAGGAAAAAGTATTAGCTATGTTTGCTGCCATTAGTTATTTATAAAAATAATAAAGATGGGATATAAATAAATAAATAAATTTTTAGATATTAATTTTTAGATATTCAGATTTTAAACATGTATAAAGCAAAGAGTACAAATTAAGTGAAATCAAATTATATTGAAGAGTACATACAGTTTTAGTAATATAGTTACTGTGGAAGAATAATGAGAACTTTGAAAAGAACATGAGGTCCATGTTTCCAGATCTTTTCAACAAAAGCTGTGCAATCCTCATTGCCTAACCTTCAAGCACATTTTTTCCTCTTTGGAGAACAGCTTTGTATTTTGGTGACAAGCTGTGATTTTTTTTTCAATCTTTCTGAGAATCAAATTTTAAATAAATACCAAAAGCCTAATCATACACTAAAGAAACATTTTACTCAGATAATTAAGCAAGATTCTTTAAGAAAAAAAAAATGATACGGGATCATTTTTGGTATGTAAGGATAAGAAGAATATCATATCTGAAAAGCTAGGCATCTGTATTAAATGGGGATGAAAATAAAAGAAAGTACATTCATCATCAAAGACATCGTGCCAACTTCTATTTCTCATTAAAACAGAGTCCAAAACAATAGGTAGCTCTTGACTACCAACCATAACTGGGATTGGAATCTGTCACAAGTCAGTCTGTTTGTAAAACAAGATATCACGTGACTGCAGCAACTTATGATGGTAATCATGATGTTTGTCATTGTAACCATTAACCAAGATCATGGGTCATGAACTGAGTGTCTACTCAAATCCAAGTCTCAGTAAGGTAAGGGACTGCTTCCAATTTTCCCATCTGCTCATCTTCCCCCACATCTGACTTTTGGCCAATCTGCACCTTCCTTGCAGGTCACCAAGCAGCCCCAGGATTGTACTGCTTGCCCAGCGGCCTTCTCTCCCAGTTCCCTGCACTAATCTTTCCCTTTTTCACCCAGCTATCAAAGCAGAAGTGGCTCATTGCCTTTGCTGTCTTCTTTTGAGACTCTTTTTGCTACCTTTGCTGCCTCCTGCTTGGACTCAACTTTTTCCACAGTTATCTTTGAGCTTGAAATGCTCTTGTAGTTGTAAGTGGGAGTGAGTTAGCAAGGATCCAAAATTCTACCACGTGGCCTGTGGTCATGTGATTGAAATCTGGGAGCTTGGAAATTTGTTTATTCTTACAAACGGTTGCAGTACCCCTTGATCGCCCCTTGCAACCTTCCCTGTTGTACTTCTCCAGAAGAGTCAATGGGGAAGCTAGCAAGAAAGGTTGAAGATTATTAGAGTAAGTCTCTTCCACTGATTCATTCTGCCCCAGCCATTCTGCACTCATGTCACACCAATCACACATAATTTTGTGCTTCCACTGTACCTCCATGCATCCCTCCCAACTCTCGCCACTTGTGAATCTTATTGCCTGCATTACCTCTTTTGCTCTCTCCCTGCCCTTCATAATAATAAACTTTATTGTCATTGTATGTGTATACACAGTATACACATACAACGAAATTTACTTAACACCCAAAGACCAGGTCCCACACACATAATCCCCAAACACACTCCCACCCACCACAATTCCCCAACCCTAAACCACCCAAACATCCACACAACAGACCAAGTAATACTGTCCAACAGCTCACTGATGGTGGCCCTTTAGTTCATTGTTGAGTGCAATTATAGCTCTGGGATAAAAACTATTCAGAAAACGTGTGGTCCGAGTTTTAATTGTTCTGTATCTTCTGCCAGAAGGCAACAGTCCAAAAAGATTGTAAGCAGGATGGGAAGAGTCTCTGAGAATGTTATGCAACTTCCTCAAACAGAGAGATTCGAAGATGTTGTCCAGGGCTGGTAGCTGGAGTCTGATAATATTCTGGGCAGTTTTAATGATTCTCTGTAGAGACTTTTTGTCCGTTACAGAGCTGCTCCCATACCATGCAAGAATGCTGTATGTCAGGACACTCTCAATGGTGCTGCGATAGTAGACAGAAGTAGATGCTGAGATAGATTTATCTTCCTGAGCATTCTCAGGAAGTACAGCCTCTTCTGTGCCTTCTTCACAAGCATGTTAGCATTCATAGTCCATGAGAGGTCCTCCGAGATATAAGTGCCCAGAAATTTAAAACTACCCACCCTCTCCACCTCCTCACCATTTATGTACAGTGGTAGATATATATCTCTCTTCCTCCTGAAGTCAATTATAAGTTCTTTAGTTTTTGTGGTGTTAAGTGTGAGATTATTTTCATTACACCACAATGTCAGCCCTTGTACTTCCTTCCTGTAAGCAGACTCATTGTTCTTATTAATGAGCCCCACCACTGTTGTGTCATCCGCAAATTTAATAATTGTGTTGGTGTTATACAGTGGGGTGCAATCATGCGTGTACAAGGAATAAAGGAAAGGGCTTAGCACACAACCCTGGGGGGCTCCTGTGCTTAGTATCAGAGTAGAGGAATGATGAGATCCCATCCTTACTGACTGTGGCCTACCTGTCAGAAATTCCTTATCCACAAACAAATCCTCTGATTTATACCCAAATTGGACATTTTAAAAAACAACCTGTTGGGTAAAATGGTGTTAAAGGCAGAGCTATAATCCACAAATAACAGCCTTGCATATGTCCCCTGTTGTTCCAAGTGATTCAATACAGTATGGACAACAAGAGACATAGCATCATCAGTTGATCTATTACTCCTATATGCAAATTGGTATGGGTCCGAAGTAGATGGAAGACTAACCTTAATATAGTTCAACACCAGCCTCTCAAAACATTTCATGACAACAGATGTTAAAGCTACTGGTGTATAATCATTAAGGGATACCACTACTGTCTGTTTAGGGACTGGCACTATTTTTTTTTTTTTTAATTTGATTTATATGCCGCCCTTCTCCGGAGACTCAGGGCGGCTTACAATGCATTAAGTAATAGCCTTCATACTTTTGTATATTTATACAAAGTCAGTTTATTGCCCCCACAAACTGGGTCCTCATTTAACCTACCTTAGAAAGGATGGAAGGCTGAGTCAACCTTGAGCCTTGGCGAGATTCGAACCCTGCAGTAATTGCAGGCAGCTGTGTTAATAACAGGGTGCTTTAAACCACTGTAGTACCAAGGCTCCTATAATAGATGACTTCAGGCAGGTAGGGATAGAGCACTGCGACAGGGATAGATTGAAAATATCGGTGAACACTTCAGCTAGCTCTGCAGCGCAGTCCCTGACAACTCGTCCCAGAATTCCATCAGGCCCAACTGCCTTCCGGATATTAATATTCTGGAAAGTGCGTCTCACATCAGAGATCTGCAGTAGAGGTGGTTGTCTATTTATGGTAGATGTTAATGGTGCACTATCAGTGGTAAATGCTGGAATGATGGTCGTTCCTGTGTCCACCTCAAAACGGCTGAAGAATTGATTTAGCTGCTCAGCCAAAGAGTCACTACTCCCAGGCAAACTATTTTTATTGCTTTGTCCTGTGATTTGTCGCAGACCTTGCCATACCCGACCAGAGTCTGAGTTCTCAAAAAAATGTTCAATCTTTTGTTCATTGTGCCTTTCTTACACTTGCACACACCCTCTTGTTCCCTTCCATATTCAGCGGCAGCCACTTACCTGCCTAATGGCCTGGTGGGGAACCTTTTTGTTAGGTTCCCCACCAATTTTGGTTGTGGGAAGCTGGCAGGAATTTGCCTCACATAATTGTGAGATTTGATTAATAATGGCATTCGGAAGTGCAAGGACTGCCATTGCTAAGTAATTACATTTTATGACATTGTTTAGCCAATAGAAATTGTAGTCCCAATTGCCATTGTAAGTTAAATACTACCTATATATATTAAACAAATCTGCATGGTTGGTTAACCTGGAAAATATTATATTATCCAATTGACTTAAAAACTAGGACTTTCAAATCTGCTATCCGGGTTGTGTGGAAATAGAAGATTGTTGTTCAGCTCATATATGACAGTTTATCTCAGTACAGGTAGTACAAGAATTAACTGATTACTGATACCACTATAATTGAGTGAATGAAATAAATGACCATGTACAAATGTTTATTAGTGTTATTTTTACTCACGTCATACTCTGAAATTTCAGGTACAGTGCTTGCCTCTACTTTCTCTGTCTTTTCAGCTGCCCATCGGCTTGCAGCCTCTGCAAGCTCCTTTTCCGATAATCTGCTGCTTTTGACCAAAGTCTGATGAAAAAAAATCCCAACGTGTAAATGAAGTTGTATTAAATAGGATAGAAACATTTTAGTGAACGGTTTAAGAATCCTGCAGTAGACTCAAATGTATTACTGCAGCAAAAGCTATGTACCGAATAAAGAATGTTAACATTTTTCCAGCAGAACTCTCAACAATAAATCTTCTGCAGAAAACTGAGAAACTTTCCAAAATAAACTAAGGACACAGGTGTACCAAAACAGAGAGGAGACTAACTGAAAACCCCATTGCACTCTAGCTTAATGTAACACTTTAAAATATATGCACAAAAATCAAAATTTTTACTGCTAAAGATTTAGAACAATTTAGAACTTACTTTTGCAGGTGACAGTGCTGTAGCTCCTGAAGGAGATACATCTCCTGAAGTCTTCAAACTCTGAGTTGAAGATCTCTCTTTATGTAGAGAGAATATAAAAATATGAGCAGAAAAACATTTTAGCCTGTAGTACTAAGTCTATGGTTAGACTGAAAATATGTTATGAAACAACTATGATTGTGTGCATTGATTATGGATTAGAGTAGTGGTTTTTAAAACATTTTGGTCTGAGCAGCTCTTTAACATTCTTAAAAATGATTGAGGTTCATCTTTTAAGTGACTGACAATGTGTTTACATGGGTTATATCTATCAATATCTGCTGCATTAGAAATTAAAAAATTTTAAATGTTAAAAATATTTGACTTTGTGGACCCCTTGAAAGGTTTTGGGGATAACCAGATTCCCCAAACCACACTTTGGGAACCACTGGGTTAGACCAATATTTTTCAACCTATAGTATGCATACCAGTGGTATGATGCATAAATAAAAGGGTTTTTATTTTTTTATTTTCCTAGTATAATTACTAGGAAATTGGAATTTTCCTGATAATTAAGATTTGTTTCCCTTTCACTTTGTGACCAGCATGAAGTTTGATATATTGGGCACTGATATACTGCATCCACTGAACAGCTTGAAGAACCTCTGCCTTTTCACTGAAATTTAAAGAGTACAATAATCTAGAACAGGGGTGTCAAACTGGCAACCTGCGGGCCAGATGAGTCACTCGCAGGCCACACCCATCCCAACTCCGCAAAAAAGCATTGTGAAACGTCCCGTGATGGCAACGTGATGCTGCGAGTTTGACACCCGTTATCTAGACTGAAGAAGCATTGCCCACACAAAGTCAGATGTTTTGCTGAAGGGGATTCTTTGCAGACTATTTCCCTAATTTTCCCAAATTTTTATCTTCACTTTACTAGATGTGTGCATGTTTTTTCTTTGCTGCTTTGTGAAAAAAAAAAAAGAGAAAAGATTGTTTTCTCTCAGCACTACCAGGTTCCTTCTCTTCATATTTCCCTCAAGTATATATCTCACAGAACATATCATGATTTACCTTATATGTTATTCCTTTCATTGAACTGCTTTGGACTTTTACCAATTTGCACACAACTAAAATAAACAAAAGCTTTCCTCCAAAGCAGCAAAAAGAAATAAGAAGTCATGGGTAGATCAAGACAATCAGTAATTTTTCTTCTCTATATTGCTGGCCTAGTTTTAGAATGCTTACACCTAATCCTTTTTCATCCTCCACTCACTGGCTATACATAGCGTTTTGCCCTTTTTCTACTTTGCAACTAAAAGCAAGAAGCTAGAACAAGCTTTGGTGAGTCATACAGTAGTTGTTTGGCCCACTATTTTACTCACATTTTGATTCTTAGCTTATGGATAGAAATGGGAGAGAAGGGATACATATTTAAACATTAATTATAACAGAATACTTTTAACAAAGCTGTTAGAATTCTCAATTTGAAACATACAGCAATGATTTTTAGCTATGGTAGGTATATTGTTTAACAATTTAGATGGAATATAAGGTATGTGACTGAATTTATAAAGATTTAGATATAACCATGATGAAGAATAAAATATAAAGTTCAGAGTTCTTCTCAGAAAAAGTTAGGAAAGGATGTTTGTAGTATGGTGGGACCCATGTTCCTGACATGAGTCAGTTGTGGGGCATTCTATTCAGAGAAATATTATTTTGGGGAAAGGAATGGAATATACTGTCCATCTACAGGAGGGGAATATATAATTTAAAAAAAATCTGTTAACCTAGAACACTTACTTTTAAAAGGATATTTATAATCTTCCTGAATTAACCATTAGCCAATTAGGTTGCAATTATATACAATTATGCAACACATTATTAAGTGTAGTAATTATGTACAAACTCAATTCAAATAAAGCTGTCACAAAGTTCTAATGTATCTTTGCTTTGAGAGTCATATTATTTCACTGCTTATCTTTAGTATTTTTCTAAATAAAATCAAGTGACAACATTGTATTACTTCTAGGAACAATTTCACTGCAGATCATCATGTTCACATAATTCTTATTATATTCCTAACTCAAGACAGGTTCATTATGCAGAGACTGCTTCCTAGATATCTAGGGACAGAACTACTGCTCAAGGGATGTTACACTTGTGTGTAACATCCTTTAAGTCAGCGGTTCTCAACCTGGGGGGTCGCGACTCCCTTGGGGGTCAAACGGCCATTTCATAGGGGTCGCCAAAGCCCTCTCTCACGCCCCCACACCTTCACTCACCCTCACCCTCTGCCTCTGTTGGATCGCCATTCGCTTACCCGGCCCACTCCCAATCTATGCTGCCTCCTGAGTCCCAGCTGATGGCTAGAGGGAAAAAAACTGTTTAAATTCTTGCCACGGGGCTTCAAAGGGCCGCCCTATAGCTGATCAGTGTTAAAAGAAAAGAAATGAGTAGACCTGTGCCTGCAAAAATAGAAAAAACAGCCCCTTTCAGCTTCAGCATAGGTCAATTACCATAAGTTGATTTGATCAGCCTCCCGACTCTCAGCTGTTTTGCGGAGGGCTCTGTTGCTAGCTAGCTGCAAAGAGGTAAATTGCTGGAGCAGATTTTTTCCCCCCTAGCTATGCTGAAAAAGCGAAACTGAAAGTAAAGCAGGGTCTTTGCTGCAATGTGACAAAATGAGGCAGAGAGAGATTTCTTTTTCTTTTTCCTCACCAAAAAAGGTAGGTGCAAAACTGCAAACAATGGGAAATTTAGGGCAAAAGAGGAGGTTCAAGATTTTAAAACACAAAAGAAAAAAAGCTCTATTTAACTAGGGAATTGTAATAATTGAGATACTATTAATTGTATATTGTGTTGAAAGCAGAAATGGTTAAGTTGTGGTTTGGAGGAATATATTTATTTATTTATTATTATATTTCTATACCGCCTTTCTCCCGTAGGACTCAAGGCGGTGTACAGTCAAGAAAAATATAGATACACAAACATCATAAAATTGCTAATTAAAATTATTATTATAACATAGTTGCAGGGGCGACATTATAATATAATTTTAATTATATTTAAATGGTACTTTAAATTATTGTATTTTATCCCGATTTTATTTTAGATCGTATTTTATTCTAATTGTATTTTAATTGCGAGTTACTCCAATCTTACTTAATTTGTTTTACCAAACCTTTGTAATGATTTGTCTTTGTAATTCTGCACTTGATATGGCCCAAAGGGCTAATCAATAAATAAAATTGAAAATTTAATATAACATAGTTTGGCCCAATTAAATAGAACCTAAAATTAGATAACATTTTAAAAACATTCATATGTTCATATGTTTAGCCCCACCTGTTGGAACATCAGGGTTTTGAGGACACGGCGGAAAGCACGGAGATCAGGGATATTTCGTATCTCAGGGGGCACTTCATTCCAAAGGGTTGGAGCCCTCAGAGAGAAGGCCCTCCCCCTGGGAGTCGCCAGTCGGCATAATTTGACTGACGGTACCCTGAGTAGTCCCTCCCTGTGAGAACGAACTGGTCGGTGGGAGGCTATTGGTGGCAAAAGATGGTCTCGTAGGTACCCAGGTCCTAAGCCATGGAGCGCTTTAAAGGTGATAACTAACACCTTGAATATGGGGGAAATTATCTGGTTTATTATTATTGGTAAATATAATTAACTGATTTGTAAGAAATTGGATTGCATGGAAATAATTGGAATATTCATGTTCATATTGATTAATATACAAAAAAGATAGTTATATAACTAATTGATTTATATTAAACTGTTGAATTTGTATTAAAGAACTGTAATATTACATAATTAACCAATGTGAGGATGGATATAAAAATAGATGACAATGGGAAGGGGTATAATATAGAATAGAAGGGAAAAATTGAATTTGATTAAGATTAGAGATGAGGATGAAGGGTAATATTGTTTTTTTAGAAAAATAGATGAGGAATAAATATGGCAAAAAGGAAATATAGAAATTGTAAATTTAATTGAAATGACTAAACACTGTTTAAATTTGTGAACCGGCCAAATACTCTGTTCAAAGAAAATACATTGTATGTTTGTATGTGTGTTTCTAATTATTGCTATTTATTCATATTTGTTCTCTTTTATTCTTCAAAGTTTAACAATTCATTCTTTATCTTAATATTTTTATATTTGTTTGGGTTTGGCTTTCTTCCCTTTCATCTTTTTTATTGTACAGCAATCTTTCTCCTCAAACCTACCACCTCTCTCTTTTCTTTCTTTCTTACTTTCTCTTCCCCCCCTCTTCTTCTCCTCCCTACTTCCTCTTCCTTTCTCCTTCTCCTCCTCTCTTCCTCCCTCTCTTACCCTCACTCCTACTCTAATTTCCCTTCCCTTCCTTCATCCCTCTCTATTGCTGTATCCTTTTATGCATATGGACTACTCAGAGGGCTGAAAAAGTTATTTTTGACTGGTCCTTGCACTTTTGACCAGTCCTCGAACTTACGACTGTCCTCACATTTTACGTTTTTGCCCTATCTTATCACCATGGTGAAGAGAAGCAGTTGTGAAATGAGTGACATGGTTGTTAAGAATGCTGCACGGGCATAAATGTGAGGATGGTCATAAGTATGAGGACCAGTCAACAGTGTGAGGACCTGTCAAAAATGACTTTTTTCAGCCCTCTGAGTAGTTCCTATACACATAGCCATGGCCACCCGGTCACATGACCAGCTAGCCATGTCCACCCAGTCACATGACCTCCAAGCCACGCCCACAAAATAAGCCACACCCACAGAACCGGTAGTAAAAAAAATTAGAACCCACCCTTGGTTGGGGGTCACCACAACATGAGGAACTGTATTAAAGGGTCGCGGCATTAGGAAGGTTGAGAACCACTGCTTTAAGTGGAAAATTATTTTCATCAATTAATGTTTCCTTCTGTTTTCCCAGCATCATCTTCTTCATTATCCAGATGACTTTCCCCATTTTCTTGGAAGTAGTTTTGGAGACCAAGAAATGGCAGGGATAAAGAAGAATGTGTAAATGGAAAGCATTTTGGAAAGATGATCGAAGGCCTGGAGACTAAATCATATGGAGAACAGCTGCAGGTTTTGGGTCTGGCTAGTCTAAAGAAAAGAAGAATTAGGGGTGACATGATAGCAGTATTTCAGTATTTGAAAGGCTGCCACAAAGAAGAGGAGGGTCTAATTATTCTCCAAAGCACCAGAAGGCAGGACAAGAAATAATGGTTGGAAACTAAACAAAGAGAGAAGCAACCTGGAATTAAGGAGAAACTTCCTAATAGTGAGGACAATTAACAAGTAGAACAGCTTGCCTGGAGGTTTTTAAGAAGAGACTGGACAGTCACTTGTCTGAGATGGTATAGGTTCCCCTACTTTAGCAGGGGACTGGACTAGAAGACTTCCAAGGTCTCTTCCATCTCTATTCTATTCTATTCTATTCTATTCTATTCTATTCTATTCTATTCTATTCTATTCTATTCTATTCTATTCTAGGTCTTATTAACAAAGATATAATATAAAAAATTCTCAATGAAATGAGAATTCACAATAAAATATTACATACCAATAAAATGTGTGTACTGAAATGATGTATGGATAAGATAAATAATAAAACCACTTGCTTTTCCTTTCCTTCCCACTCCCTTTGTGTCTTTTCCTGACTGCCTTGCGTCCTTTAAGATTAAAGTGTTTTCTTGTTTGTTTGCTCATTACGATGCAAAATTGCTACTTGAAATATTATTTCACTTGAGAAAATGTAAATCTACATGGTGCCAAGGATTGAATTTTTCCGGTTTTGAGTACTGTAGCTTTTGTTTGCAAGGATAGCCATTCCAGCTCATGGCTTTGGGTTTTCTTTTTTGAATGGTTAATCCTACATTACCTTGTAGGGAAATATTTCTTTTATGTAAAGATGACATACTTCTGCTATGCTGGGACTGATGGAAGGTGTAGGCTTTGCTTCTATCAGGTGAATAACTTCTGCTGCTGACACTGGAGCCAGATCTGCTGTGAGGAGATTCTCTCCGGCCAATTGGTGATTCTCTGAAGTAAGGGGAATCCCTTTTATGTGGGGAGCGATCTCTTGCATACTGAGGATATACAGGTTTCCGTCGTGTGCCATCTCTTTAAAAATCATTGCAATAAACAAATAAAAACATTCATTTATTCAGCAAGAGCGCCAAGTAAAGACCAATCTTTTTCTGAATCTTTCCTTAGACAAGGTTCTCAATTCTCTAACTGACAAGGAAGAAATACAATGAAAATCAGGATTTTTAAAATAATAATAAAAAAAGACTTAATCACTCAAGCAGGAAAAAAAAATTATCAACAAAGTGTATAATGGATTGGTAATGGAGGCAAGTTCAAATTTTGAGCAGTCTCAAAAATAAGTATTGTTCCTTTGCTAGGAATCTGGAATATTTTTAAATATATTTTTTACATTTTAAAATATTTTTCCATTAAGAAAAAAAGACTTCATACATATTTATGACTGAAAATCTTTTTTAAATTTCTTGGATTGTAGTAACAATTGTCTAAACCCATTTACTAAACAATAAGAAACAGAACATTTCCCGATGCAGCTCTATGTTTTTATCAATCATTATGTTTTACCCTTATGGAAATCATTGTTCAGGGAAAAAATATGACTTTCCTTTGTTTCACACTATTTCATACTTTTATATAATGACCAATTTAAGTCCAATGAAAACAAAATTTTACTCACTAGAAAACTAAATAGCCAAAGTTAACATTGCATCTGGCCATTAAATCAAAGCACAATATACTAAGGAAAATATCTAAGGATAATAAACAAAACTTCGAACTGTAGAGATACTTATAAAGTTAATAAGTGTGCAAACCCACACTAAGTAGATCCAGATTAGAGCTGTCCATTACAACTAGGAAATAGGTGAATGGGTACTTTTCAATGTATTAAAGAGTTCTCACCTCTTCTCTAGGCTTTTACAACCATTTTATTACATGCAATAAAAAGGAACTATTTAAAGCAACCTGAAACCCAAGTTATTTAATGCTTATTTCTGTCTCTTTCAAGTATATGTTGTAAAGTGCATGACCTCCAGAAAATAACACAAATTCAGCCACTGAATTAAAGGTAAATAGGGGAAAAACGACCTCTAGTGTACACTAGAGGCTCTTCAGCATTGAAACAAACATAATTTGCATGAAGTTTTTTCCAAGGTTGTAGCTAACAATAAAACAATCACAGTACTGGCATCAACTTAGCAAGATAGACCCTGAAAGTAATATAACCAAATACTATAATATCTAGAAATTCAATAGAAGAGGTTTCTGTAACAACCAAAGAAGTAGAAATCTGCAAATGTAGAGTATAATTCAACATCAACCAAACAAATAGTCTGGGGCTTCCAGGGAAACTGAAGACAGCTCTATGAGAGTGGAAGCAATGATCACAACAATAAGAGAAGACAGTTTGGAACTCCTCTCCAGATCAAGGAGAGGACAAGGATCACTCATAAGTTTGTTTCATAGAGTCTGCCCACAAATACTGATCTCCAGCGGGTTTGAGAGCTCTGGGAACCATTTGTCTAAGCCATGGTTGAGCATCTTCAGATAGCAGATTCACCTGTTTCCTCTCTTAACTTCTTTAGGAGTTGCTTATTACTGATTTTCTGGATTTTAAGAATCTTCTCAAAGACAGGTTCACTCAAGCCAAGAAAGTTTTTTTCTATTCTGGATAAAATAAGTTTAATTAAAATTTAAGGATTAAAAAGAAAAATTTTTTTTGGAAAACAACAAAAGGCAATTGAAGGTTGATTTTGGAAACTGAAAAGTAACTTAAAAGTCTGAATGGATCCCTTAGGGCAGAAATAACTGCAATTAAACATTTCCAATAACTATGGATCAGATCTGCACACTGGCTTGGAGGAATTTTATCCCATCACTCCTTACAAAACAGAATGAGCTCTTACATTTATTGTAGTATTTTAACACCACTCTATGTCCTATGTTATTAGATGGTGCAATGGTCATTAAAAATAAAATCAATCACACTAAAATAATAAATAATATCACATCAAAAGCATAAGCACTATAGCAAATTAAAAAGAATACAGGTAGTTCCCACTTAATGAGTCTAAGCAGGACCAGAATTTCCTTTGCTAAGCGATGTGGTTGTAAAGTGATTGCATTGCTTAGTGACGGCAATCCTGGCAGTCCCTGGTTGCCATAGTTAAGCAAGTCATTAATGACCTTGTTATCACAAGTCATTAAACAAGGACTGTGTGATTGTGACTTCTGAATTCCTGTTGGCTTCCTTATTGACTTTGCTGTGAAAAACTGGCAGGGAAGGTCAGAAATTGTGATCATGTAACATGCGGACAATGTGATAGTTTTAATTCCAGACTTGTTAAGTGTACAGATTGTGATCATGTGACTGCAGGGGTACTGTGATGGTCATATCTTCAAGGATTGCTCATAATTACCACTCATTCAGCACTGTCATAAGTTCAAACAGCCACTGAACGAGAGCCCATTAAGTGAGGAATATCCATATTCCAAAATGTATACTTTCACTGCATCATGTCAACATTACATTGCTTTAAATTTTGTATGTTTTGGTATCTTACTTAATACTGAAATTAAACCAGTAAGCAAACATATTTTTCAAATTTAAAAGACTGAGATATTTGCTTCTTTCAAATCATGTAAAATACCATCTATGCTTTGCTATTTCTTTCAAATGAAATCCTGACAAATGGTTGTCAGGATTCATTAGCCCGCTTTTTTGGCAACCATCTGTCACTGAAGACATCAATTTACTGGATTCTCCCTGGTGCCTATAGACAAATCTCAGAGCACCAGTTAATTTAAATGTACACAAACTATGTTTCCATTTTTTATTCTAGAGACTTCAGAACTTTATGTAGCTAAATTGAAAAACAATACCTATAATCAGGTGGCCGACTATCAGAATGGTCTTCTCTTGACCATCTATATCCTGGATCATCCTACAATAGAATATATCAAAAAAATTTAGTTTCAAGAAGCTAATAGTAATAAGATACTGTGTAACACCATTGAACATTTTTTAAATAATTTCTTCCAAAATTGATTAAAAGAAATTTAACATGCCACTAAAATGTATTTAATGTATTTTAAAGGGAAAAAGAACTATCCATTGAACAAATATTAAATGCAAAAATAAGAGGCTGATTTATCATATTGCTGTACAAGAAATAATCAATATATCATTAAAACAGACTGGTGATTGCTATGCATCCAACATTGTTATTTGCCTTCAAACAATATTTGTGAATGAATTCTCTTCCTCTTCTGAAACTCAATGCTCCTTCTCATGTTTTCTTCAGAGAGATGGAAGCTTTAAGCATTAATCTTCAAGCTTTCAAAAGCACAGTTGCTTTAGTACAGTATATTCATAGAGTTACAGTATAAAGTTTAAATATCCAAATTATTTTTAAGTGCTATTAATGTAACACAGAGCTGTACCTAACAATTATAGAACATTTAGCTTCCAGCCACATATTCATCAGAAAAGGAAAACTCACGATTCTATGTGGTAGTCCACTTCTTCGTTCGTGGGGAAAACCTCGACCTTCACCATAGTCTCTATAGCCTACATGAGCATGGCCATATTCATATCTACTATAGCTTCCTTCACCAGGTCTTTCTGGAAGTGGTAGTTTCTTGGATGCAAAACTGACTACTCGATGGTAGTCATCCTAAAATTATATACAATACCAATCATTAAAAATTATAAATAATAAAAATAATCTCAAAGATTAATATGGATATTGAAGTTTTAATAAAGCCAGTAAATACATTAGAAATCAAGATACAATCTTGCTTTAGTTCATGCCTCTTGTTAAAAAGCAGATGAAATATCCTGAATTTAACAAGATTGAAAATGTGTATTTAACTGAACAATAATTATACTAGGCTCATAAAAAAAATGAACAAATACTTGAACTAATTGTTTTTCTACAAGTTTAGTATCAACTATCGTATTATAAAATCTTTACCATTATTTGAAAATTATTTAGAAAATTTTAAATTACCTAGCTGTAACTGTTTAGAACTAAATAGGATTAAAAAAAATAATAGCATATATGGGAAAAATAATAGCACAGAAAACAAAAAATCTTTTTCTCTGCAAAACAACCATTGCTTTTGGCATCATCCTGAATAAATAGGCTTTCTAATGGAATACAAAAAATGGTGGTACAAATTTGAGACTGCACCCTGAGCTATCCAATGAAATAAAAAAATCTGCATTTGAAAAGAGAAAACAATTAGTTTATGCAGTTAAAAAAATCAAACCAAAAATAAAGTACAGGCCTGGGCTTTTAACAATTACCTCCCTATTTTATCTCTCCCATGCCAGATTTTTAGGGAACCTGTATTTGCCCAGTTTAGGCATACCTACATTTACACTGGTAAAACAGGTTACAGTGTGCAGTAGTATTTTGAGACAGCTGGAAACAGTGCCTTGGAGAAAGGAAGCTTGTTGTTTTTTTTTAAAAAAAAATCAAAGCAAAGCAAAAAAAGCCAAACTCAGCTCATCTACATTAGAATCCAATAAATAAACCATGGATAGGAAAGAGACACCAATTAATAATTTTTTGGTAAGGACAATTAGGTCAGTTTGGTCTAGTGTTTAAGGCAGCGTTCAAGTCCCGCCTTAGCCATTAAAGCCAACTGGGTGATTTTGGGCCAGTCACTCTCAGACCAATCCACCTCACAGGGTTGTTATTATGGGGAAAATAGGAAGGTGTGTGTTGGATATGTCCGCTGCCTTAAGTTATTTGTAATAATAAAGGCGGGATACAAATAAACAATTACCACAGTGGATGAAGAGAAGCAAAGTGAGCAAGGCCACATCATGATCATGGGTGGAGTTAGGATTTCTGTTCCTTCTCAATTTTTAAAAGAAACGTTTGTGTATGCGTAAGAAGCGGTGGGAGAGGGGGATGCTATACTGATTTTTATCCGCTGATATGGAAGGGAATGCTGTGAACTGGAAAAAAAAAGCCTGGGGGGGGGGGGAAGGCGGACATAGATTAGATATAAAGGATTTGTTTCTCCTTCTCATTTATCCATTCTAGGATAAGTAAGAGACTCACATAATCAAGATAAAAGCTCTATCAAAAAGCATTTTACAAAACCCAAATAGGTATTTAAGGAGGACATATTAAGAAAGAAACCAAGTTTTATAAAACACAGCATTAATTGTGAACCGTTGTAGGCCTTCTAATTGAAAGTCCGTCCATGTGTGCACTGTAACCCCCATAAGTTTAAGATCATAAATTTAAATTCCTAATCAACAGCTAAAAAGATTAAAAAGAGAAACCCATAACTATTAGCAATCAACTTACATCAGGACGTGGCGGGAGTCTTTCTCGTGGTAATCTTTCATATTCATACCGCTCAGACCACATTTCATCTCTTCTATATGACACTAAAAATAAACATGTTATCAATTAAAGATATATGTTTGAGTAACTATTTATTAACATGAACTAAACAAAACACTCCTTTGTATTAATATGCAAAACTTGCAATGGCTATTTTTAAATATACCAAGGCTGAGATATTTAGCATTTTTGCTTAAGAAACTTATTCATCATCAAAAATAGGTAAATACTCTCCGGTACATTATTTTAAAAATTATTTTATTTATATTATTTTAGAATAGAATAGAATAAATTCTTTATTGGCCAAGTGTGATTGGACACACAAGGAATTTGTCTTGGTGCATACGCTCTCAGTATACATAAAAGAAAAGATACATTCGTCAAAACACTTAATGATAGTCATAAGGAACAGATAAGCAATCAAATCATATTAGGAAACAGTTAATATAAATCGTAAGGATACCAGCAACAAGGTTACAGTCATACAGTCATAAGTGGGAGGAGATGGGTGATAGGAACGATAAGAAGATTAATAGTAATGCAGACTTAATAACTAGTTTGACAGTGTTGAGGGAATTATTTGTTAGCAGAGTGATGACGTTCGGGAAAAACTGTTCTTGTGTCTAGTTGTTCTGGTGTGCAGTGCTCTATAGCATCATTTTGAGGGTAGGAGTTGAAACAGTTTATGTTTAGGATGCGAGGGGTCTGTAAATATTTTCACAGCCCTCTTTTTTACTTGTGCAGTATACAGGTCCTCAATGGAAGGCAGGTTGGTAATAATTGTTTTTTTCTGCAGTTCTAATTATCCTCTGAAGTCTGTGTCTGTCTTGTTGGGCTGCAGAACCAAACCAGACAATTATAGAGGTGCAGATGACAGACTCAATAATTCTTCTGTAGAACTGGATCAGCAGCTCCTTGAGCAGTTTGAGCTTTCTGAGTTGGTGCAGAAAGAACATTCTTTGTTGTGCTTTCTTGATGACTTTTTTGATGTTAGGTGTCCATTTTAAGTCTTGAGATATGGTAGAACCTGGAAATTTGAAGGTCTCTACTGTTGATATTGTGTTGTCTAGTATTGTAAGAGGTGGTAGTATGGGAGGGTTTCTCCTAAAATCCACCACCATTTCTACGGTTTTGAGTGTGTTCAGCTCGATTGTTCTGGTCACACCACGAGGCTAGTTGTTCAATCTCCCGTCTGTATGCGGATTCATCATTGTCTTGAATGAGACCGATCACTGTTGTGTCATCTGCGAACTTCAGTAGTTTAACAGATGGATCATTTGAGATGCAGTCATTGGTATATAGCGAGAAGTGGAGAGAGCATACAGTCTTGTGGGGCCCCTGTGCTAATTGTATAGGTATCGGATGTGATTCTGCTTAGCTTCACCTGCTGCTTCCTGTCTGTTAGGAAGCTTATGATCCACTTCAAGTGTGTTCAGGTACCTCTAGCTGGTTTAGCTTAGTTAGAAGGATGTCTGGAATGATGGTGTTGAATGCTGAACTAAAGCCTACAAAGAGGACCCTTGCGTAGGTCTTTGGAGATTCAAGATGTTGTAGGATGTAGTGCAGAGCCATATTAACAGCATCATCTGTTGATTTATTTGCTCAGTATGCAAATTGCAGGGGATCTAACAGCGGATCCATGATGGTTTTCAAGTGGGACAGCATTAGCCTTTCAAAAGTTTTCGTAACTACAGATGTTAGAGCAACTGGTCTGTAGTCATTTTGTTCCTTGATGGTGGGCTTCTTCGGCACTGGGATGATAGTAGAGCGTTTGAAGCAAGAAGGAACATAGCACATGTCTAGTTATTTATTGAAAATATGGGTGAAGATGGGGGCCAATTGGTCAGCACAGACTTTTTTTTAAATTTTTTTTTATTGGATTTTAAACAAGAATATAAAGACAATACAAAGAATATAAAGACAAACAAAATCCCACCACCTACATACCCACACCACGTTTTACATACATATTTTGGTCATCATCAGAATATATATATATTACTTTGTAAATTAGTAAATAAGCGGTATATTCTTGATTCAAGTGTTTTAAATTAAAAATAATCTTGCATCTTCTCTTTATTCATCTCCTATTTTTAATTTTCCACCCTATTTTCTGTCATCTACATTTGTACTGATTTTCCTTTCCAGCCATTGATACCATCGGTGCCACACAAGATAATATTCACTTTCTTCCTTATCCTGGAGTTCCAGCGTCAATCTATCCATTTCGGCACATTCTGTTATCTTTGAGATTATTTTATCTTTGGTTGGCGAGTTGATCTGATTTCCAATTTTGAGCGAACAATAATCGTGCTGCAGTCAGAATATGTATGATAAGGTATTTTGTCTCTTTGTTGTGCTGTGTTGTTATCATTCCAAATAAAAAGAATTCTGGAGTGTTTTCTACTTGTTGATTTATTATTTCCTCAATAGTTTCCTTTATGTCCTGCCAATATTGTTGGGCCTTCGTACATTTCCACCAAGCATGGTAATATGTCCCCTTTTTTGTTTTGCACTTCCAACAGTGTGGGGAGGCGTTCGGGTATATTTTGGCTAATCTGGCTGGTGCTAAGTGCCATCTGTAAAACATTTTTATGAGGTTTTCTTTATAGGATGTGGCTCTTGTCATTTTGATGTTTTGTTTACACAATTTCTCCCAGTTTGCCAATTGAATGTTGTGCCCTATGTCCCTAGCACACCTTATCATGTTTTCTTTTACTGTTTCTTCTAATAATTTATATCTAAGAAGATAGTTATATATTTTGGTTATCATCTTTTGTTCTGGCCCTTGTAAAATCTTGTCCAATTCATTCAAATTATTCGAGATTCCATATTGCTTTTTGTCTGCTATGTGTCTTGAGTGTATTTGGGTATAGGGCCACCAATCGATATTTATGCCAGAATTTTGGAGTTGCTGTCTTGAGATGAGTTCGCCTTCCTGATTCAATAAGTCTTGATACCGCATCATCTTTCCTATTTCGAGGGTATTCGGGTATATCAATGCTTCCATCGGGGACCACCATTTTGGTATTCTGGTATAGTAAGTTCTCTTAATATCCTGCCAAATCTTGAATAGTGAAGCTCAAATTATATGACGTTGGAAGTACATGTGTCGTTTGTCCGATCCGTCCCATAGGAAAGCGTGCCATCCTCTTATTACATCGAAGCCTTCTAAATATAGAGTTCTTTTGTTGTCCAGTTTCATCCATTCTTTGATCCAGGTCAGTCCTGATGCCTTGTAGTAGAGTTCCCAGTCTGGTATTGCTAGGCCTCCTTTGTCTCCTGAATCCCGTAGAGCAGTGGTTCTCAACCTTCCTAATGCCGTGACCCTTTAATACAGTTCCTCATGTTGTGGTGACCCCCAACCAGGGGTGGGTTCTAAATTTTTTTACTACCAGTTCTGTGGGCGTGGCTTATTTTGTGGGCGTGGCTTGGAGGTCATGTGACTGGATGGCCATGGCTATGTGTATAGGGACTACTCAGAGGGCTGAAAAAAGTCATTTTTGACAGGTCCTCGCACTTTTGACTGGTCCTCACACTTATGACCATCCTCACATTTATGCCCGTGCAGCATTCTTAACAACCATGTCACTCATTTCACAATTGCTTCTCTTCACCATGGTGACAAGATAGGGCAAAAATGTAAAATGTGAGGACAGTCGTAAGTTCGAGGACTGGTCAAAAGTGCAAGGACCAGTCAGAAATAACTTTTTCAGCCCTCTGAGTAGTCCATATGCATAAAAAGATACAGCAATAGAGAGAGATGAAGGAAGGGAAGGGAAATTAGAGTAGGAGTGAGGGTAAGAGAGGGAGGAAGAGAGGAGAAGGAGAAAGGAAGAGGAAGTAAGGAGGAGAAGAAGAGGGGGAGGAAGAGAAAGTAAGAAGGAAAGAAAAGAGAGAGGTGGTAGGTTTGAGGAGAAAGATTGCTGTACAATAAAAAAAATGAAAGGGAAGAAAGCCAACCCCAAACAAATATTAAGATAAAGAATGAATTGTTAAACTTTAAAGAAAAGAGAACAAATATGAATAAATAGCAATAATTAGAAACACACATACAAACATACAATGTATTTTCTTTGAACAGAGTATTTGGCCGGTTCACAAATTTAAACAGTGTTTAGTCATTTCAATTAAATTTACAATTTCTATATTTCCTTTTTGCCATATTTATTCCTCATCTATTTTTCTAAAAAAACAATATTACCCTTCATCCTCATCTCTAATCTTAATCAAATTCAATTTTTCCCTTCTATTCTATATTATACCCCTTCCCATTGTCATCTATTTTTATATCCATCCTCACATTGGTTAATTATGTAATATTACAGTTCTTTAATACAAATTCAACATTTTAATATAAATCAATTAGTTATATAACTTTTTTGTATATTAATCAATATGAACATGAATATTCCAATTATTTCCATGCAATCCAATTTCTTACAAATCAGTTAATTATATTTACCAATAATAATAAACCAAATAATTTCCCCCATATATTCCTCCAAACCACAACTTAACCATTTCTGCTTTCAACACAATATACAATTAATAGTATCTCAATTATTACAATTCCCTAGTTAAATAGAGCTTTTTTTCTTTTATGTTTTAAAATCTTGAACTCTCCACTTTTTCCCCAAATTTCCCATTGTTTGCACCTACCTTTTTTGGTGAGGAAAAAGAAAAGAAATCTGCCTGCCTAATTTTCCAACATTGTAGCAACAGCAAAGCCAACAGCCTGCTTTACTTTCAGTTTCATTTTTCAGCATAACTAGGGGAAAAAAAATTGCTCCAGCACTTTTTGCAAACAAGCAGCAGAGCCCTGAGCAAAACAGCTGAAAGCAAATCAGCCGAGAGTCGGGAGCCGATCTAATCAAGGGCTAATTAGCCTATGCTGAAGCTCCGTGGGCCAATAAAATTACAAAAATACACGGAACCATTTGTTAAATTGCTGGCTCGCCTGCCCCTCGCCCACCACTATTTATTGGCAATAAATAGTGGTGCAGAGGGGCAGGGTAAGGGGCGGGGCGGAACCAGCAGAATC